TGTGACTATGTAAATTTAATTAAAATAAAATGAAATTTAACAATTTAGTTCCTGACTGATGTTGAAGCTGAAACTTCAATACTTTGGTCACCTGATGTGAAGAGCTGACTCATTTGGAAAGACCCTGATGCTGGGAAAGATTGAGGGCAGGAGGAGAAGGGGACCACAGAGGATGAGATGGTTGGAAGGCATCACTGACTCAATGGACATGGGTCTGGGTAAACTCTGGGAGTTGGTAATGGACAGGGAGGCCTGGCATGCTGCGGTTCATAGAGTCGCAAAGAGTCGGACATGACTGAGCGACTGAACTGAAGTCCCGATAACCACATTTCAAATTTCACAACACATGTGACTTATGGCTGCCATATTGGACAGTATATAGGACATTCCTATATATATGTGAAAAGTTCTATGGTACACCACAGCCATAGAGGGTTATCTTGACTATCTTCTCAGTAACCCAGAAAGTAACCAGGGTAGGAAAAGGAGCAGGAGGGTAGAAAATGGGAGGGATAATTGCCTTTCTCACCACTATACTTTACCTTTGGTTTCGGATCATGGGAATGATATAGCTAGCTTCCTGAAGACAACCATCTTAAGTCTTAAGTTGGTGGTGATCTTATAAAAGTTAATAAAAAGAATATGTCCTTTACTTCATAATAAAAATATGCCTTCACTGACACCAAAGCAAAAGGACATGGTAACTTTCTTTTCCCCACTACACCCAAATGGGCTATTTCTTTAGTCAACTATAGAAAACACCAGAAAATAAAACTAAAAAGCCAAATGTAAAAGGTGTGGAAAGCTCTTTATTTTTGCACGGATCATGATTGAAGATTTTTTCCAAACATCTTATACATGAATACTGTCTTATTTATCTTTGAGGTTAGGTAAAAATCAAAATGCATGGTTAATTGTTAAACTCTTTTAAGCACCATTGCTGTCCTTGTTTAGAAAGTAAATAGTGAATGCTTTGTGGAATTAGAACCCTAGTGACAATGTTGGCAATGAAGAAGTGAAACTGCAGGAGCAGATTCTTAGCACCATCTATGCCACTAGAAGCTGTGTGACCTTCGGCAAGTGACTTACCCTCTCTGGGCCTTAGTTTTCATCTTTAGTTGGAGAAAGATGGCACTGAACTGGATCTGTGATATCTTTATCTTTCTGGGATCACTTTTGTGACTGTGTTTCTGACTTCTGCTACAGACATTAGAGCTTATATCTGTTATCATAGCCATGAGCATTGTTTCTTATTAACATTTATAGATCATCAGTGTTGTCAGTTGCCCCCACTTATGGTTCCCATAATCAAACCTCCAAGTGTGCAAGGCCTGGCAAACCTCTAGATTTTCTGGAATCCTCACATATGAGGATGTTCATCATTTAGCTATTCTTTCAGAGTTAGAAGCAAACACATGTCCCAGAATAGAGGCTCCAGCAATCTGCATTTACACAGGTGAGAACAGAGACTCCACCCTACTTCCAAGTACAGCCATGGTGTCACACAACATGGATGACTGGGAGCTGGTTCCTGCTCGGCCATTCATGAGCCGCACTCCCCAGGACGTGTTCTTTCTCTGAACCTCAGTTCCCCATCTGTAGAGCAAAGATAATAGCATGAGTGTAGGCAGGCTGCTATACCAGGCCGCTAATGAAGCTCAGACCTCAGGGCCCTCATCTGCTTGGCCCCCTTTCAAGACCCTGGGCTTCATTTTGACTTTTTGTTGTAGTTTCCTGATCTTTTCCTCAAAGAGGGGCCCCCAAATTGTTTGAGCTTCAGGCCCTACAAAACCTGGTTGGCAGTATTTAAAAATGAGATGGCACCAGGTAGGCTGCTCTCTCTAAAAAGAGATCACCCATCAAACAAGATCTTGCCAAGCTGGCAGGTCTGCAGCTCTTCTATTTCTTCCAGATGCCAGCCTCTTTCATGTCCCAGCACACCTGGCTTGCTCCTCTGGATGCCACTGGTGAAGTGATACTGCCCTGATCCTGAGAGCCACTGGGCATCATGGTGCATGTTCTTAGCAGCTGCATAATTATGGAATCTGAGAGCCAAAAAGCATTGCTGGGGACACTTTACACCCCCCCTCCCCATAGATGTTCCTTCCTCTCCTTTCCTTCAAGTTCCTCTCATATAGAGATCCCACAGTCTCCTTTCAAAATCTGGTCTGGTATGCTGTCATAGGTCAGGAAGATCCCTTGGAGGAGGGCATGGCAACCCACTCCAGTATTCTTGCCTTGAGAATCCCCATGGACAGATGAGCCTGGTGGGCTACAGTTCATGGGGCCACAGAGTCGGACACGACTGAGCATATACTTGATGTCACAGATTCTTAAGAACGCCTTCCTTAGGGTTAACCCTAATTTCTCTTCTAATTCAGCTATGATTATGCCTTTAACTTTTTTATTCTGTTTTATGTAGATTACATAGCACTTTCACAGATATAGCCACTTACCTTAGCACTACCTTAGCATTCTCCTTTCAGAAAGAAGTAACTGAGGTTCAGGTGGTACAAGACTTGCCCAACATTGTAGATGGTGGACGCTGGGACCCCAAAAGGACATTTCTACTCCCTAATCCCCATTGTCAGCAGAGGGAGTACTAGGCCTCCCAGACGTTACACAGTTTGTGAGGGAGTCAAAGCTTGGAAACACCTTGCCTGACTCTCAGGCTGTTTCCGCTCAGGTCCATGGTCTCTGCTTCTGTTAGCTGCTCCGGCTCTGTTATTAGGAACTAACTTCTTGGTCACTGGACTCAGAGTTCTCACTTTCTGTCCTTGGCGATGATCCCAACTTCCTGCAGGTGCTAAGTGAGGGACTTATTTATGGCTCAACTCTTCACATACATGCCCCCTTCCATCCCCTCCATTATTAAAAAATGAAGTCATAGTCCATTCTTTCTGCATTTATTCACAATAAAATTATTTACTGGGTGCTTGTTATGGGCATGGCACTCATCCTATGCAAAAAAGAAGAAAAGAAAAAAAAAAGAAACAAAGAGAAAAGAAAGCATGTAAAGAGCCCTAAGTATAACAAGTGACATCAGCAAGATGGTAGCATAAGAAGCCCTCATTTTCCCCGTGGGACACCGACTTAACCACAATATATGGACCAAATTTCCTTTGTGAGAATTCCTGAAAAGGCCCAAATATCCTGTTTTCTAGGCAAAGGGAATTTCTAGTTTTTCAGTTGAATAGGCTACCTAACACTTGTAGTCTTTGGAGAAAATAATCTTTTGATTGCTTGCTATGTGTCAGGCACTATGAGTTTTACAGATATTAATGTAATTTTCACCCCAATTCCTTGAGGTTGTGGAAGTTCTCTTATTCTCTTTGTACCGATGAAGGAGATAGAGACATAAAAAGCTATAAAACTGGCCCAAGGTCACACAGATGGCCAGTGGCTGACTCAGTAGAGAATCAGTCTGGCCCCAGGGTCTACACTCCAGATTGTGTTTGAAACTTACGAGTTGGCACAAGCCGGGCACATTTCTGTACTGTTCAGATGAACAGATGCTTGAGTTATGCTGCTTTTAGGGATTCTGCGTTTCAAAACAAAGATGTGGTCTTCAAAGGAATAATTGAATTCACCCGGTCTTAACTCTTGAATTAATAAACAGAAGATGGAAGGAAGGAGCTGGTTTAAGTTTGGGGTCTCCATCTTTGATCCTAACTCTTGATGGATTTTTCCAGAAAAAAAGAACAGAATGATCAATTAAAAAGGCTAACAATGACAGGGAGAGGTCTTTAAAAATAAATATTTCTCACAAATACAATCTCCTTGGTCTAGAATTTCACTATATTTGCACATAGAAGTAGGAACTACTTTATTACTCCCAGGCACTTGGATGTTAGCAATCCATACACTCACACACTTGTAGATATTTAAATAGATAGACACAGGTGGAGAGATACTCATAGTTCCTACATTTTTCTATAATTCAGAAAGAAATAAAAGTTCAGAAAATATTTAGTTAATGAATAAAATTGAAAAAAATTAGAGAAATCTGGGTGGCTTAAATTGAGAGACTACTTTTGCTCATATTAATTAGAGAATAAATATCTCCATTCTGTGCTCTGAAGGTAAACCTCAAGAAGGATGCATGTGCAAAGATTTAGTTTGCTTGTGGACAATATGGCATCAGCTCTGATGCCAGAACCTAGGAGGTCTATGAGATTATTTTTTTCCCTGAAAGACTTGATGCTTTTATAAGAGAGAACACATAAAGAAAACCCCGACATTTCTGAAAGATCAAATGTTTGTCAGCACCTCTAATGGAGCTATAATAATTAATTTCCCAGTGCAATAAAACCATATAATTAGAATGGGTTGGGGTTTTTCAACATTTTCCAATATGGGATGAGCAAATGGAAAAGCTTTCCTTTTCTCTTTTTTTGTTTTCAGTCCCTTCCTTAACTTTTTTGGAGTTGGTGTGAAATGCCCAGAGGAAGTGAGCCCATCTGTTTCTGATACTTCCAGGCTGGATGTATCAGAATGTTTTGTAGCAGTTATTTGATGTCTTGTATGCCTCTAAAGTATTTTCCATAAGTTTGAAGCCTGTGTCTTTACTGACAGGAAGTTTGTTTTTATGGCGTTTTAGCATCAGTTTGATGCTCAGAAACGAGAAAGGAGTTAATTGGTCAATTTATAAGTTCCACTAGGTTTAACTCAATTCAGTTTCGTTGATTTGCATACTGGGAGAAATTTCGAGGAGAAACAAAAGTGAATGGAGTTATAGATTATTCTTATTGTTTGCATAGCTCTTCCTCTCCCCTCTTCAGTATCTTATGGCCAACACTGTGTCTCGGCTACACTTCTCCTTTATGGTAGGAAAGGGTGATCCCACTGGGGAGACAGATAATGGGGGAATCTCAGAATGGAAGAAAGGAAGGTGGAGACTCATCTTTGCGTAAGGATCAGGAGGAAGGGGAATGAGGTGGCCCGCGACGACACGGCTCATACCCTCACACCCGTCTGCCTCCCTGGGCTTCGCGTCGGGAATGTGCGGGTCGGTGGGGGAGGGAGCGCCGGGAAGGAGGCCTTGCTCGGGATCACTTTATACCTGCAGGAAGCACTTCAACGTGCTAAGCCCTCCTCCTAAGCCCTTCCACAGCAGCATCCGCTTCACCAAGAAGGTAACGCAGCCGCCCCACCCCATTCCGCTAGAAGCCACACGCTCACGGGTCTCCCTCTCCCTTCCCCGAAACTGGTTAAAAGGGGCGTGGAAGATTCATAATTAAGTTCTGTCGCTCCTACTCTCTGAGCTCCATTGGTACTTATGGCGGGAATTCAGTTCTACCTAGTTCTAAAATTGGTTATAAAGACAGAAAACGTCCAGGCTTGGTGTTCATTGTCAACAAATCTACTGGGCATTTCCTAAGGTAATATTGGTTGGTGCCAACCATCATACACAACTGCACGCTAGGACTGTTAGGATTAGATTCTATACTAGGAATGACTCTGCTTGGCAGTCCAGGGAGCTTCTCATCACCTCTATGGATTGAATAAACTGTGGGCTGGCTTGTCGCTAGATAAAGAAAGGATCACTTTTTTTTAAAGCTCTAAGCTGCCTTTTCCAGTCGTGGAAAGGAAATCATTACCTTCTTTAACTTAGCTTTTATTTTTATTTTACCTGATTACAATGCTTTTAATTTCAACTCTTTTTCTCTTAAGTGATGTATGATCATCACTGAGAATGAGTGCAATTTGAATTATTGTAAGCATACTTAAGACTATACAGAGTATGATATATTTTCTATATGTACATATATGTTATCTGTAAATACATACAAGAAGAAAAATTTCCACATGAAACTGAGGAGGAGAAAGCTGGTCAATGGGAACTTTAGCCCTTTTAAGCTTTTAATGTTTTGATTTTTCAAAGCAAGGAGAGTATTTATCGGTCATTTTAAAAATAAAATAAATCCAAACCAAGCAAAAAAATCTGAAGACCAAAACACATTCATATCACACACCCCCGGAAAAAAAAAAAAAAAAGAGGAAGAAAAGAAAAAAGAAAAATGCAAAAGAAACAAAGAGCTTTGAAAGTATGCCATGTCTCTCATAGGAATTTACCCTACAAAAATAGCTACAGCTGCTGACAAAGATATAATATCATGTGTGCTGCAGCTCTCTTCATGATGCCAGAAAATCTGACACAACTTAAATGTCTCATGATGTGGAATGTGTTAAATAAACCCAGTTATGATCATTGAAAGTAGACCTGTCAGCTAATCCAAATAATGTTGTAGAAGAATCCTAGACCAGGGGAAGATTTCCATTATCTATTACGTGTCATAAAACACTCAACAGTTTACAAAATAGCATGTGCAATGTTTAATTTTTTGAATGAAAATATATACACAGAAAAGAAGATTTCAAGGATACTTGTCACAATCTGAGCAGTGATTTTCTACAGTTGGGGGTAAACTTTCTTGCCTCTTTGAGCTTTTAAAATTTTCTACAGTGTACATGTGTTACACATATTTAGTTTTGAAAGTGCATAAGCCTGTACACGGTCATTTTCAATGCTTGAAAACTTTCTAGTATCAAGGCAAACAGACCCCAGAGATATTGTCATCTGCCAACCTCATACTTTAGTTTGCTCAGCAAGATACATTCATATGCCTTGAATATCCCTTCAAATATTCTTATGAATAATAGTGACATTTTGTATATGTTGCAGAAGATAAACTAAAATGAGAGGGAGAAAACTGTAGTGATGAAATACATTACTTACTTTTTTCCAGGAGTTTTCCTCTCAGAAATACGTAGCATTACCACCTCTGGAAGTTACAGTACTATTTTACAATTTAAAAAGAAGTATAATTTTGCCTGACATTCTGTTGTTCACCATCATGAGAATGTGCAAATAACACTGTAACCAAAAGTTGATCCAACATGGATCCTGGAGTTTTTTTCTATACAAAATTCATATTACAATCAAGTTTAAGTAAATAAGATTGGTTAGTTCCAGGAGGCTGAATATTACTTTGAAACCTCACTTGAACTCCTCTATCTCTGATGTGCAGGGAGAAAACTGAGGCACTCTTCAACATAACCTAAGCTTAAAAGGAAACAGCAAAAATGTTCATTTTACATTTTGAAAATAGACTCTGTTTCTTTCTCCAGATAAATTTTGTCTTTGCGTAGAAAGCTGGTATTCTGGCACTATTTGTTTTTGTTCCATATATTGCATTTTTATAGCAAGTGAACATTAAATTATTTTATAACTGCTTCACCACTTTTTAGAAAAGGCCATAGACTACAGGATCCTTAAATAGGGTAACTGTTTGTAAAGCTACTCATTTTTTTTGAGTCTGTTTTCATTACTTAATTATGGGACTCTGGACACAAAATGCTTCTTGTTTCCACGAAATAAAAATTTTCACACACGCACAAATACACACACATCCGTTTTCTATGCTGAATTCATGCTGTTCAAATATTTTAAAAAACATTCATGATGAAAGAAACCTGAAACAAAACAAACACCTCCACTATGTTCTTAATTTTCTTTCTTATGGATGGTGTATACCCACAAGGGCAAATGCAGTCTTTTCAAATGTATATGAAGCAAGCACCTTCCCAGCTGTGAGCATGTAACTGGCCAGTGAGTTCTTATTTAGAGAGATTTTAAAATGTATGTTCTTATTCAGTTCTTAGATTTTTGCATCCATAAAAAAGTGGCCTTAACTGTTGCTCTTTCACGAAGCATACCCATTTCCATGTCTTTTTCTTACTAAACCATCCTGGAAAATTGGTGAAATCATCCACTTCATGCACGTTGTGCATTTAAATAAAACAAAAGAGCATAGAACATAGATTTAGACATCCTTGTGGTTGGCAACTTAGTTTAGAAAAAGATTCAAAGGTTCAAATTTGCCATTGGTATTCTTGCTTGAATTTGTTAGTACCATAAGTTGAAGGGAGCCAAGATGTAAAAACGAGTTTTTCTTTGCCACTGTCTGCTGTCAGTATGCAATAATTTGGCTTAGAAATTTACAGGATATGTAATATATTATAAAGACTGCATTGTTATGAATTTATGATTTAATGATTAACAGGGTTATTTGCTTTGTTACTGGAATCATAACATCAGGATGGGTAAGAGGTAAATAGCATTAGAGACTGTAACATGAAATGGTGAGATAGGTACTTTGGCTTAATTTAGAGGCCACAAACATAGCCAGTCATGTATTTGGTTAAGTACTTGCTTGATGATATTCTTAATTACATGTTCTTTGTGGCTTGCTGGTATTTTCAGGTGCTATTAATAAAAATAAGTATTTCTAAATGTGTAAATAGATTGGAAGCAGATGCTGTTAGTAAAACAAAATTGGGCTAAAGGAAAAATTTTTGCAATTTGAAAACAGACCACTGTCTTTAATATGTTGGTTTGCTGTGATTATGTATGCTCATAGAATTTGAAAGAGAAATAATCAACAAATACATCTTAAGAGGAGTAGAAAGCGTAGGGAAGAGGGCTATTTGTAAAACTCAGAGAAAATGTTTATATGAACAATATTGGAATTGGTGGTTATGTTATAGAAGATAAGCAGAACATAAAGAAAACTCGTTAGTCTTTGCTAGATTAGAGTATGAAAATGCAACTTTTAATAAATCATTTTTAAAGTACACAAAACGGTAAACTAATTCGGGGCATACTCTTGCTTTTAACCCAATGATCCCATTAATTATGTTTTAAAATTATAATACTGTGTTTTTTTTTTAAATGCAAACAAGTGACAGTGGGATTATTTATGAACAGATCATCATACTTTATTTCTATTTTTTGGTAGATTCAAATAGTTATTTTATTAACATATTTCTTTAAAATAGAACAAAGTAAAAATATGAATGTAATAAAACTGTAAATTCTTACAAAGTTAAATTACAGTTCAAGCAGAAACTAAGAGCAGTGTAAATCTGAGCTTTGAACAGTGAGTTCTTACTATACAGCCCAAATTGTATTTTGTAACAAGAGGAAGGAACAATCCTTTATACATAGGAAAAGTTAGAAAGGAAATATAAGAAAATGTTTAAAGTTTAATTCTTGACAGTGAGAATATGTGTACATTTTGAGGGTTTTTTTCCCCCCCTTATGCCTTTCAGTATTTCTCAGATTCTTTTCAGGAACATATATTACTTAGAACTAGAAAAGCCATATCCTTTAAAAAAAAAAAAAAGGCAAAGAAAAAACAATTTGATAGCTTGCATTAAAGGAATTTTCATTTAGATTTGTTAAACTGGCATTTTATTTATTATCCCAAGGCTAATTAAAACAGAACCAATACAGTCATAGAAAGCTAACTTCTAAAACTGATAAACCTGAACATATAACTTTTTGCCATTATATTGTAAAATTAGCCATTTATAATTGCTAAGAATTGAGTGTATACAACTGCTAATGTTTAACTGGTCTGTCTTACCTGGAGTTCAATTTCAAGTAACAATTTTAACAAGTTATCAACTGACATAATGTTTCTTGGCTTAAAGGTGGATTTGCATTATTTTATTGCTTGGAATATCATATTAACATGCATTTTAACTTTAAATCACTTGTTAGAAATGGAATAATACTTTAAGTATAATTTAGTTATTATAATTATTTCATTGTTGAAATGTTTCAAGCCATTTACTTTTAAGACTATAAAATTAAACATGCATTGAGTTAAATGTAATAAACTGATAAAACTCAACGAAGGTAGTAAGTAAGCAAAGTTTTCTACTTTTACTGCATGTCAAAAAGTGTTTCAGAGAAAAAAAATTAGACCACACTGACTTATCAAGAAAACCTTTCCTTTCCCCTTGATCTTAATTTTCCTGGAATAGGTATTCTCCATTGAGAGATCCCTCAGGATGTTACTAATGTAGTACTTGGAAACTTTATTTTTGCGCTGGAGGAGCAAAGGAACTGAAGAAAGGAAAGATGTCATTTGTCTTCTAGTATGGGAGCCACACAAAATTTAAGTATGGTATGCTATATATTCGTTACTGCTATAGATTTTAACTTCTGTTTAAATAAAGCCCTGTAAGCCCGCTAAAAGCAAGCAGCTGCTTGTTCCACCGTTCTTTTATCAAATGGGCCTGAGAATAATCTAAATTAAGGCACCAACAGTCCCAAATTTTAGTTTGGAGCAAACCACAGTAATTAGTTTTCTGAAAGCTATCGAAATGTTATCCAATATAAATGCACAGAAGGTATTTAAAAACTCAGGTTCCCGGAATGCATGTTCATCCTTTGCTTTTCCAAATTATTTGCCACCTGACATCTTATTTCAAGAGTCCTGAAAAGTTAAGTCTATGTTCAGTTGGACATAAAACAGAAATTTTCGTAAAAAAAATCCAACCAAACCCAAACCCCAAACAAATAAATCACAAGAATAATTCTCTTATTTAAAGAATGTCAACTGAGTATCCCTTGGGCATATTACTGTTGGAAACAATTTAACACTTGCATCATTCATGAGCAATTCACGACGCTTAGCCTGCAAGAATTTTCCACCCTTTCTTGGCTTTTTACACCCTTCAACTTGGCTTTCCCTAGTTCCGCCAGTGGAAAATTAGGGAGACAGGAAATTCATAGTAAAGACATAAATGAATCCTCGTGAAAGCTTAATTTATTACAAAAGTTTTTTTCCTCCTAACAAAAGGCCAGGAAGGAGCCGCGGACCTTACGCAGATTGAAAGGAAATTAATTTTCTTTTTGGATGTATTAGTAATGTCTACTTATTTCATGGCACACCCCTGAAAGACTTGTAAAAATAAACGAAAAGACCCATTTAGAAATATGCAATTCCCTTTAAAGAGTGAAATTAAACGAATCTTTTCTGAAAACCGTTTTGTTTCCTTAAGCTCTTTGCGGAAAGCTGGGCGAGGCTGGTCGGGACCCACCCCTCTCCCGCCCACACCCCCCGGGAAGAGGGGCGAGACTCAAGTTCTCCAGTTACAGCCAGAGCCCCGGCCGCCCGCCCACTCTTTATACAAAATGAGCCCGCCCCCGCTTTCATTAACCCAGCCAATGACCAAACGGCCTCCCTCCCGGCGGGAGGTGGAGCCGCGGGGGAGGAAGCTAGGAAGTAAACGCAATCCCACGTGTTACGGCTCTCTCCGCCTCTTCCTCATCTCCACCCTCCGCCCCGCCCTCACTCGGCTCCTCCCATTCACGCCCCGGGAAGAGGCGGGGATGCAGGAGGAGCCAGGAACGCTCGCGTTCTTTTATTTACATGCAACCTTTCTATTGGCTAAGACTGGCCACGAGCGGAGGCTGGAGGGGCGGAGGAGCTTGTCAAAGTGAACTTCACGGATTGGCTTAACAGTACGATGACGTAAAAGAGGGCCGTCTAAGCAAACGAGAACGCGGAACAAACGCTTCTCCTCCCTCTTGTCCCACCTCGTTGGGAGCAACCCAATGAAAGAAGAGCCTGTGAGGCACAGGGTCTTGAATATTTAAATAAGAAATCTAGAACTCTAGCTATTTAAATATTCATGAAGAGGCGGGAAAATGTAGCGTGTCCCCCGGAAACTCTTCGGATTGGCTTGTTTTCTCAAGCTAGTGTTAGTATCAGCAAACAGGCTTGCACCTCACTGATTAAATGATCGCTGCATTTTTTCTTCCTCCAAAGCGCAATATCATATACACCAATTTTTTTTCTCGGTAATTAATTTCATGTGTGGTCCGACGGGCTCAGCTTTGTCACTTTTTCGCTGTCAATATATTTTCTTTTTTGTAACTCAAGTCCCATTTTCATCAGTTTTTAAAATGCGAAGATGTGGTACAGATGGAAACAATTAGAACCTCCGCTCTGCTGATGTGTATAATCTTATTAGTTTAATGGGTCACAGGGCGCAGGACCTATTTCCTATGGATCAAAGTGAAAACAAACACGGTTAATATCCATTTTGTTTTAGAACCACATCGGATCGGATTCCCTCTGTTGGCCGTGGTAATGACAATATTAAGAGATCTTGGATTGCCTTGAAGTTTAGAGGGAAAAAGGAGTCATTGAAATATTCTGGCTTAAAAACGCATTAATATTAACACCAGGTAGCCGTTTGCCAGTTCCCCAAGTTCTCTTGAGTTTATCACAATGGCATGCTTATTAAAGGATTTCAGAATTGCTTGTTTTGATCTATTGCGTTAAATCTAGCGAAAAATCATGCCTAGGTCGCTGCTAATTATACCAGCTTCTCAGATTTCGTCTGTCCAGTCCCGACATAAGGCTTCGGAGCTCTTAGTGTAAATGTCAACTTACGGCTTCTTGATGATTTTTTTTTCTTTACCTGTGAGTGGTGGTCACAAACTTTTTTACAAAGTTTGATTTTCAAAAAGTTAAAGAACCCCATAACTGCTACTCAAATTTTAACTTTCCATTTGAGGGAGTTCCAAGGCCAGTTCACAGACCCCATGAGCATCCGTGGATCCTAGTTAACAATTCATGTCGTAAGGAAACATTTTTCATATTTTGGGTTGTGTTTGAGTGTGCTTTTTCGAGGCAAAAATATAATCTAACAATCACCTACGGGGTTGGGCCGCGGCTTTTCTCTTCGTGCAAAGGCCCCCTTTGGAAATCCCCCGCAGTAACTTCTCACCCCAATAAATTAAATGCAGCCACAGTGTGGTCCATTACCCGGGAGTGTGAGGTGACGGCCCCTGTCAAAGGTGGCCGGCTGAATACAGACCCTTAAATATTCCTACAGATAATAAATATCTGTGCAAGGAACGGATGTAAATAATAGGTTCCTATTCGATTAGAAAGCTCTGAAGTACAGCAATGAATAAACGCATTGCAGACTTGATGAATGCTCCCAAGTTCTTCACGAAGGTGGGGGGGCAGGTCTTGAAAATATTTCGCCCTGTGCTTGGAGGCTGGGTGCAGGGCTCTAGGCGCTGAGGACCCAGCACCTCTGCAAGATCCTCAGCCGGGCCTCTAGGAATGTAAATACAACGAGTTTAGACTGGCTGGGGCCCCGGAAAGTGCGAGCAGTAGTTATTAGCCAATCATTTTAATTCCGAAGCTGCCCAGAACATCAGCTTTCCCTTGGCTACGCGGGGTTGGGGTTGCTAAGAGAGAAAGCTGTTCTTACCATCCTCTTATTAGGAAACAGTGTCATTGAGTCCTGGGCTCGGCATTCCTAGGTTCTGGGATGAGTTCCTGCGAAGAGCGAAGCCCGCATTGCTCGCTGGGATTGCAGGCGCTCCCTTCCCGGTTCCGAAACCAAAGTGTAACAGCGTGGAACACATTACAAGAAAGTCTGACATCTGGGACAGATGTGGTTACTCCACCCCTGGCCATGACGACCCTTCATATAAACCCTCAAGGCCTTTTTGAAAATCTGCCTTTGAATTTTTTATTTTTGTGCGTGATTTTTAAACCCGTCTCAACATATCACAGTTTTCTTTTTGTTTTTCTCTCTTGAGGTTCTCTATGCCCTTAACTTTATTTTTGGAAACTATTATTCCTCCCCCCACCCCCACCAATGGGGAAAATGATCAAATCTCCAATCTGTTATTTCCTGAAATTTAATCCCACTTTTACTCATGGATCATAAAATATTTAAACCGTCAAAAATGTATCCATCACTGAACAACTTCAGAGTTATTTTATGCTTTTTAAAATGGAAATATAATCCCGGTGTGTGTGGGGGTGTGTGTACCTTATTATAGACAGATCATGTTTATCTCCCTCCCAAGGAAAAAAGAATATTTACATGTGTGAGTCCAAGTAATTATTCATCTATGATCACGAACTCTACCAGCTTGATTTTTCATTTTTGGATATACTTTTTGAGGGGGAGGGTATCTAATATGCAAGGACACTAGCAAAATTTAGTGTTAAAAAAAATTAAAAAAAGATTTTCCGGTGTACTGGAGGGACCTGGCTGAGGTCCAACAACAGATGCCTTCTCTTCTTTTCTTTTTCTTTGCTCCTCCCACCCCCCCTCCACCCCGCGCCTAGGTCACCAGTCTCTTTCAGTTGTTTACTTTAACCTGGTGAGCCCAAGCTGTAAACTCCACGTAAACCAGGGCGCTGTGGTTGGCTCTGAGGCAGTCACGTCCCACTCGGGATGTGACGCGCAGTTCCGGGGTGTTCGGAGCATAGAATGTCATTCTGAGAGAAAAGAAATCCCGCGTCAGTGCCCGCCTGGAAAGAATCCGGGAGAGAAGAGAACTTCTTTGAGCGGCAGCCCCCTAAGCGCACCGGGCTTCAAGGATCGCTGTCGCTTAGATTTTTTTTTGAACAACTTGTTTGACTTTATCTTGAAATTTTGTTTACTTATTGTTACTGGTGGGAACGTGGGCCCCTGTGATGAAGACTTTCCTACGCTTGGGCAGGTCTGCTCCCTAGCCCCCACCGCGATGGCTTTCATGTAGGGAGGGTTAGCCTCTGGATTCAGGCAACATTTCCCTTAATCTAAGAGTCAGCTGCAAGGTGCTTGGTCCACTCCTGGGGTTTTCCGCGCGGTAGAGCCGGCAGAAAAACCTTGACTTGATTTTTACCATCACACCGGGATGGCCCCATCGGGACTGGAGGCGGACCCTTCGCGGCTTCCTGGGCGCGCCTGGCCCAGGGTGCCACCAGCGTGGTGTCGAGTGCCGCGTTACAGGCCCTGGACCAGCCAAGATCAGAGGCTGCAGGACTTGCTCGGCTTTCACCCGGGCTCTACTACCGGAAGTCATTTGATAAATCTCAAGCAGGCCTTTCTAACCTTTACTGCTCGGCAGAGAATTGCAAATCTCTAAACACGCTGTAATCTTCTTCTAACTGTGCTCTAGACAGACTTAAGGATTGGGTTTTATTTTAGGGCCCGGCGGAATGGAAGTAGCCACTTTAGGGGCTCCTCTGTGGTCTAGCTTCCCCACCCCCGCTTCCAGCAGCGTTTTCCTGAGACCATCATCTCGCCCAGTAAACCGATTCCCGCCCACCCAGCCCCAGGAGCCCTTCTGCTCGGGGAGGCCGCAGACAACCTGCGGCTGGAGGATCACCCCGCGCCCCTGCGGCTGGCGGCGGGGAGAGAACCTCTCGGGAAACTTTTAGGACCGGCGGGGGTGGGGCGCATGATTTATGACCCTGATCAACTTTTTAGGAAGCAGAAATTAACCTGAGGGGGATTAGGCGAGCTTTGAAGTTCACGGTTTTATTTTCCTTCAACTCAGCCTTTCGATCAAACAGTTCTTATTTCCTTTTACCTACCACCTCCTCCTCCTTGGGTCTCTCGTCACGCCATTCCTATCCCCCAGCAACCCTTCCTGTACAGATTTTCATAATTTCAGGTAGAAATATCTCCAGACCAGCGACTTAAGCTCCTGACTGTGACCTAGCTAGCTATCAGACATTCCACACCCCTGCCTTCTTGGAATCGTGTCTCACGTTTGAAACTTGTATTTATATTTGGAGGTCAGAAGTAGCAAACTTGTATCCATCCGCCCCCCCCCCCCACCCCCCTTGGTTTTTCTCGCTTATTCCACCCTTGGAGACTGGTATTATCCCGAGTGCGGCCATTGCAGCACCGTCAGCGCCTCTGTGGGTGACCGCTAACCTCTTAGCGTGTTCTCTAAATCCTGTGGGTTTGGGCCGAAAATTCAAATACAAACATAAAAGACCTGCCTTGCCACCCTGCACTCTTACCTTGGCCCCCTTTATTTCTATACCCCCAGACTCCCCTCCCCTTCAACTGCAGGTCTCCAAGGGGAATCCGTCTCCTGCGGCTCTTTCCAGCAGGCGCCTGCTGAAAAGGCAATTTCCTTAGGGGTGTGGTCCGGGAGAGAGAAAAACATAAACCAGGATTGTTTGGGGTCTGAAACCATCCAAGTTTTATTGCATCCGCTACAAAGTCAACTAACTCTTAATGAGCATCCAAGCGGAAAAAGGCCGAGGTTTACTCCATGTTAAGGCGGGGGAGGGGAGGGGGTACTTTGTTTATTTCTTTCTCTTGCAACACCTTCTCCAGAGGCTCTTCCCAACGCCAAGAATACAGGCACGAAAGTGGAAGACATCAGGTTTCAGCTCCCTGAGTGATCGAAGATCATTCGGCCACAGGACCTTCGAAGTTGGCCCTGTCTACAGCTTGTAATGAAAAGGATAATCTGTCTTGTAATAAAAAACAGGACCCACACAAACAAACCCGGTATCCAACCACCTTCCACTGCGCCGCACTCTTCCTTAATAAGGGCCAGTGACAAATATTGCCATCCAGTTCCACCCCAAAAAGAGGAAGCAGTAGATCTTCCTTTTAATAACTTCCCAAAGTGTTACAAATAATAAAAGAGACGCATAAATCATCGCGGGGGCGGCTGAACGTGGACCACGGAAGGATTTACTCCCCTCAATGCTTGACTTTCAACCGCGCTCTCATTGGCTGTTTTCTTGTAGCCCGGCCCCCAAATCCGCCCTCTTATTGGTCCATCAGGCGGGGTGACGCACGGAAAGGGCGTGGGGTCGGTACGGGCCGGAGTCCATCAACGCGCATGCGCCTTGTGGAGTGAGTGTGTGATTGACAGCAGGGGCTGTGTGCGCGTGCGCGGGTATGTGCGTGTGAGTGTGTGTGGTGGGAGGGTGATGGTGGTGATAGTGGTGGTGATGAGTGCTCGAATTGAAGCTGCTTCTTCTGGTTCGGTGGCTGTAGTCCTCTTTGCGGGCATTTTCCGCTGAGTCAGAAGGGCTGACAGTTAGAGACCCAGCACTCACTGGCTGGGGAGACCGTCTGGAAGCGATTTACTGAGGAGGGTCTCTAGCAGCAGGTTGATTGGGGAGGGAGTAAACAAGTGGAAAGGCATGCATGCTTTCCTGGGTCTGAAGAAGATAAGTCAAAAACTCTCAGGAAGAGATTTAATTCTACTACTTTGTCGTTTGTGGGTTTCTTGCAAAGCACACAGTAAGTCATGATTCGTATCAAAGCTGAGCCCTCATAGGCAACTCACACCTCACTTCCTCTCAGATGGACACATTCGGTTCGGTCCCCCAGCACACAGGTACACACATATCTTAGCCTCCTGTAGTTATGCAAACCAGCAACTCAGGGCGAAATTTCAAGACTCGGAACACAGTGATAGTCCTTAACTGGAAGGAAAAAGGAGTAAAAGGAATAAAGGAAGAAGAAAAAGAAAAGAAAACTTGTAGCAACCAATAAAACAATAGTGTTCTAGATACCGAAGGAAAAAAACCCACTGGCTACTGAATGTAAAATTTGAAATTAATTTCCCAATCAGGTCAATGCCGCAGGAGCAGTTCCAGTTTATTCCGAAAGTGCTTGTTAACGCCTGGTACAAAATTCTTCAGAGACGAGAGCTGGCTTACTGGAGAGCAGAAACATTTCTCCGTTGCCCTGTTGCATCCAAATTCTCGTTTCGAAGTTTCTTCGGAGTGCTGGAGCTGGGCAGGAGGCTGGAGAGTTTTCTCCTATTATAAGGTGTTAGGTCGTTGGTTTGTGTTTGCACGTATTTTAGGAAGATAATAAAGGTCTTACAGCTGTGCACATATTTTAAGTTACGCTGGCCCTAGATGAATTTTGTAGCTGGTAAATAAAAGCTTCGGTTTTACGAATTCTGAAATTTAAAACTTATAATTACCTCTTCGCGGGCCCTGAGATTTTTGTTTTCTTTTGTTTTTATTTTGAGGTTTTTCTGTGTGGGAAGAAATGCACAAATACAAGCATTACAAAATCTCCAAGTACTATCCTGTGTGTGCACAGTAAATAAATAAAAAGAGCAGAGTGGTGGAAATATGGGACTGTTAAAAACAAAATAACGTTCTTCTAAATCCCCGTGGTGTATTTTTTCTTTTGAATAAGTTCTTTCAGCCTGCCTAAGTATTCAAAGTCATGTTTTTAAACCCTCACAGTAATTTTATTTAGAAACCCCATGTTCACCTTTAATTTTTAAAATTACTATTAATGACATGAATTATTAGCAACCATTCTCTGTATTTCGCAACGTTCTCTACATTTTAATATGCTTTTTACAATGTATATATATATATATTTAAAGCAGCAAACATTAAAGTTAGTAAACCAGATTTTGATAGCTGCTTATTTTTGTTTAATCGAATGTATTTTATTAGATAAACATACACTTTAATTTATTTAAAAATAAACAGCAAAATAATACTTTTCTTTCGCTTTGCTAGAACAAGGTGATTTTTCATTCTTCTCCGTCCGATTCTTTCTCTTCAGCAGCCACAAGCGACTGACGAGCTCCTAGGGACTAGCGGCCTGGTATGCAAATTTCAGATGATTGACACATAAGGTAGAAACCAATCACGCTGGAGTAGGTTGCTGATTGGTTGACAAATGTTTGACGTGAAATGACGTTTTAAAAGCCTAACAGCCAATCAAGGCGATACATGCAAATGAAGGAAGGAATCAGATTACCAGCGGCTGGAAAGACTTGAGTGCGCCCTCACGCGTTCAGTAGTGGATATTGCACAGACGCCTGCACAGTAAATAAATGCAGCAAAATGTTCAACCCCACAGTTTGCCTTCGCCGTTCCCAAACTTTTATGTCACTGAACTATAATTATCCATCTTAAAAACCCAAGAGTTAGGTCGTGCACATATATGATGGTTTAGCTTAGAAATCCATGTCATGTAACGGTGGACTTCAATCGCACACAATTTTCCTCTCATTTTTACCAACACAGGGAATCTCTGTCTTCAAATTAATCCTTGGAGAGGGAGGCTGTTTCCCTCCTTGGTTTCAAAAGCACAAGATTTACAAAGCCTTTCCAGGCACATATGGTCGATAAATTTAGCTTCTTCAGCGAAATTCCGCGTGGCACCGCCAGATGGCACAAGGATCGCCTTCTAATCTCCGTATCCCGCCGATCCCTGTATCCCGCACGTAATTTAGAAAAACTGAAAACCAAACACTTTTATATTTCATAGCTAAATGAACTGAGAAGGTACTGGCACTCTTAAGGAGCTCCATATTACGAAAATAAGTTTTGTTGGTCGTTGCTTTGATGTGAAACTTCCTCTTGAGATTTTTGTCCAAGGAAAGTTTTTCTTCAATTAAAAATTTTTTTAAATTTAATTTTTTTTGCAAAAACATTTCCTTAAAGTGTGCACCATAAGCACAGCACCACGCCCGATGAAAAGGTTAAGAATAAAAGGGTTAAAAAGAAGGTTAAGAAGTGTTGTGTTCGTCTTCCTAGGGATTAAAATGAGACTGAGGGTGAACCTAAACTTCTCAGTGAGCTTGGCTGGACCAGTGGGGCCGAGGTCGGATCAAGCTGCTTTTAGAGCAGCGTGGCTTTTTAAAACAATTCTTTTCGGAATCTCAATTACAGATAGAAAAGACTTTCCATCCACAAGTCTCTGTAATCAGAGGCAGCAGCGCCTTTGCCAACCTGCCCAGTGGTTTTGGGGAGTGGACCCTGGAAAGCACTGACCTCCACTTCTCATGCCTTTGACGTTATATGTTTTTCTGTTTATCAAGAATAGAGGTTTGGCTGCCCATACTTCAAGGCCAGACTTAGAATTAATGGTACTGATACAGGGAGAAGGGAGGATAGAAGAAAATATCCAACTAAAGTAACAAGTAAAGCCATTTACAAGTTGATTCATCCTGGGAAACTGTTTTCTTCACTCCTTTATACAAGCAGGAGAGCTGTACATTTACTTTCGACCACTTTACCCCATAATCTTGCATTTTAGAATCGCAATCAGTTAAAAATATATTTTAAGTTGGCATATTTATTTTAGAAAATCTTTCTGAAAATAGCCTTCACCTTACAGAAAGGGGGCTCCATTAACTTTGTTGCTTGGCTTTGTCGACTTTTGTTTGGGCAGAAAGTAATGGTTAGGGTGCTCAAGTGAACTCACGTCTCCCTGGGCATCCTAACTGTAAGTTGTTGTCTAGCCTAATACCATATTCCTTGTGCACGTTTTCACCAACTCCCGTTTCTAGTGATAAAGCTGTAGGTAGGAAAACTCATCACAGCCAGGCAAGTATATGTACAAAATTTGAATAAAATTACGTTTTACTTTAGAACTACCACTTAGGATTTCTTAGTTCAAGTTGAAACCATATGTTTATTTTATTTCACTATTTGCACACCCCACTCCCCAATGTTGTTTGATCAGAGAGCATCATACAGAAGCTAATGGAAAAGCCAAAATTTTAGGGAGAGCTTATTTCTTTTAGGTATTAAGAATGATGAGGAGAGGCAGAGAACTCAGCAAGGAAACTCTTGGGTCATTTAGAAGAAAATCTTAAGTTTCTAAGCACAGTCTCGCTGCTCTCTTAATGTTTATTTTCCGAGCTGCAAAAAAAGAGAAGCAAATTGTGTTTAAATAGAGGTGGGACCTAGGGGTTCCTAGGCTTCTCTGGGGACCTCTGGGAGCTAGTGTCTAAGTTTCTTTTGCTTCCAACCGCGTAAAAGCAGGCCCAAAGGTGCGAATTTGGCGCCCCGCGTGTGGTGGGACAGCAGCGTTCTCGGGGTGGGCGGGTCCGCGTGGAAAAGGCCCAGGGCTTGCGCGGCGGGCGCGCAGGGCAGCGGTCCGCCGGGGCGAGGGATACCCAGCTCTCCCAGGAGCTCAATTCCCGGCACAAAGGTGGGCAGAGAGCGGGAAGCGGCATGGCCACTGTCTCCGGAGCCCAGCCCGAGCGGGCAGTGGAGGCTGCCCTCCCCCTGCCCCCGTTCCTCTCTCCCCTTTCAGGGCCTCTTCCGGTCTGAGTCTTGGGAGTCGGTTTCCCCCGTCGAAGTGATTTCGCCCGAGTCCGCCCGGCGCGGCTGTAAATCACCCCCCGCCCCGCATCGCACCACCCCCCCGCCCCCGGCCGCTCTCTGGAGCCGGGGCGGGGGCGCGGGGACGCCGGGAGGCGCAGGGCTGGGCTTGCGGCCACCCGAGGCCCGCGGCCGCAGCTGGATCGGCCGCCTCCGGAGCGGCGGCGGGGGTTAAACGCCGTGAATCAATCAATCAGCCCACGCCGCCCTCCCTGAGACCCGGAGCGCCGCCCGCCGGGCCTGCTTTGTGTCTCGCCCGCCTGCCGGCCCGGGGCCTAGGAAGCCGGGCCCGGCCGCGGCGGGGCCCCAGGGGTGCGGCGCGTTCCTACCAGGGGCCGAGGTGCCCTGAGAGCCGCTCCACCCAGTCCCACCCGGTAACGGGGACAATTCAGGCCTATGACAACGCTGTCGCTCCGCTTGCCCCCTCATTTGATCACTCCCTCGTGGCTTCCAACAGAGTAAGGCCCATTGTCCTCAATCTTTCCTGGCAGCTTGAACCCCCACGCCTGTCATCCCCAAAGACCAGAGTGGCCCTGGTTATGGAGATCAATCCACAGCAAGCGGACACCCCGAGCAATTCACGGTATTTCTCGGCCTCAGTTTCTTATCTGCAAAATGAAGCGGCTGTTACAATCTGCATTGTTTGCCCAGCTCTAATTAATTTTTGTTTGGGGATGGAGAAGCCTTAACTCTTTTGACTGGGTGTATTTCCAGAAGTTCCTTTCCCTCACGTTTATTATTCCTCCTGTCCCCACACTTCTGAACACCCCAGCTGGCACCAGAGAGCTGCTCCAGGCGGAGGGCAGGACCCGTCAGCCTTCCAGCTGAACCTTTGGCCATATATGTTTCGGAGACGCCACCAGAGGGCGATAGAGCCAAAGGATAGAGCAGCAAGGCTCCCTAAGGTCCTTCCGAAAGTTTTTCAAACTCGGAGTTGATTCCCTTTTCTATTTGTGTGACTTATAAATGGCGTAGACTTATTTCTTTTAAGATTGCATTTGGTCATCAGCTCTGGATGCAGTCTGAGATTCATGAGAAAACAAGTACAAAAGCATTAATGAGGTACAGGTTTGCACCCACCCCCCCAACACCCAGTGGCCCACCAAAATAAAGTGAAACTTGCGAAGTGCTAACTTTAAAAACTTTCTTTGCATAATAAGTGGGCTCGCAGGCCCGGAGAAAGCAAGGGAGGCAAAGGCCAAAAGGCACTGAAACAGCGAGGACACACAGTCGTGGGTGTTCCTCCCCCTGCCCCCCTTTTACTTTTTTTTTTTTTTTTGCAAACATCGAGTTCATTTTGGGATCATGAACAGGGGGTAGGCTGATGGAGTGGAAGAATGCAGAAGAAAGCATTTAAGAGAAAGACATTCTCGGGGTGGGGGAGGAGGTGGGGATGGTTTAGGTTAGAGAGCCCTAGTGCAGCGACGTTCGTAAATTCTGTAAAGTTTCTGTCTGCGTGGAAAAGAAAAGAGCCACATCTCTGCCCCTGCCTCTGACGGCGGTGTTGGATAGTTCTTTCATTTGTTTCCTGCGAATGTTTTACAATACGGATTACCGGGGCCTCAGAGGAAACAGACTTGTTCACTACAAACAGCCAAAGTATCTTCAAGCAAAAACGTGTTCGAAATAACATCTTTCCCCACACATGGAAGCCTCTTGGATTGTGTTTGCTTTCAAAGTCCATAAATGTTTTTATTAAACTATATCTTTCTTGTGGCCCCTGCGCATATGAAGTACTCAGCATGCAAACGCTTCCATTTTGGTCCTCCTCTAGGGAAACTTTGTAGCTCCGCAGTAAATATTTGCTCTAAGGTGAATCTTGGCAAGCAAGAGCTGAAGTCTAAAATCTGGTTTCACTGTATGTTTGTGTGCACGCGTGTATGTTTGAACAATGTATGTATATATATTGGAAAATTTGTGGGAGAGCTTGGTATTTTTACTTCTTTGCTGCACATGGGGAGGTATAATGACTGTAATTACTTGGATGACATTTAAAAATTAACAAATTCTCCATCAAATTTGATTCTTCCTTGTGTGCTGCCAGCCCTCTTTCCTCTAATCACGTCAATTAAATGTTCTTACAGTGTCACCCTTCATAACACCCTTTAATGTAGTGATTTGGGAAGTATCTTTTAAAGCAATTAAATGTTGTTTTTGCTTCTTCAATTCTGCCTTAATAATTAGAATGTTAAAAAAAATCAAATCGTGATCTTTATTATTCTTTCATGTTTATAGTTTTACTTCTTATAACGTTTTAATTTGTAAGCTGTGCCCAAAACTGTCAGGGGGATAAATGAAGACAGCTCAGCAGTATGGTACAGATGGAGTTAGAATTTTGGGGTCTCATCCCTGGAGGAAAATTTGAACTGAAGCTCTTCCTCTGTAAAGAAAGGGGCTTTAGTTTTATGAAGGTGTTGAGTCTGCTGAGGTTGATGAAAGAGAACTCTATGGAAAATTATTTTAAAATACGCACACAGTAGATGAGCTAGGGCTGTGTCTTAGTCATCTTGGAGGGAATAATCAGGAGTTATTAACTCGGTTCAGCCTCATGAACCTGGCTACAGTGATTGCAGTCTGTGGGTTCTAGGGTCTGCCTCTCCCCTCCACGCTTCTCCCCACTCCCCATTGCTGAAGTCTACTCCTATCCAAAAGCCATTCTCTCTTTCTTCCTTTCCTTTTGTTTTTCTTTTAAACAACAGAAGCCATAAGGAGAAAACTATCACAAGTGGAAATTTCAGAGTTGTGTGTTCGTGTGCTTATGTGTATGCTCTTTCCTTCCTCTGTCCTGGAGGGAACAGGGATCATAGACTTGCCTTTTCTGAGAGCGCCCCGCTATGGAAGAATGTAACTTATTACTTCTGGCTGATGGGGCTGGGAACCGACAGACCTCGCAATTTGTTTTTCTTTTTAGTTTTCTTCAGCCTCTTGCCCCCCAGCACTGAAAAGATAGTATGTACTCTGCTACTTCTCTTGACAGTCAGGGTTTTACTTATTCTAATGACTGCTTCAATGAGAGCATGCAGCTCTGAGCAGAGAGAACAAGGTCCTCTTGGTCCACGTTGTGGTGAGGTGGGCTAGCCGTTAAAGTTAGCCTAGCCTCTGGCCAGAGAGCCGAATACACAGCTCCCTCTCCCGTGAAAACACCGTCCCTGGAAAACATCATGTGCGTCTGAGTCATTCTCTGGAGGACCTGTTCCTCAGAGTTTGGTTTGGCCGTTCTTGCAGATATAATCCTTCCTTTCATATTTTTCCCTGCCCTTTTGAAGAGTAATCATTTTCAGTCTCCTTATATGAGGGGCACTTTGAGAGATGGCCTTGAACCCCATGGAGGGGTTGGCTCTTTGGCTTGGCTTTTTGGGACTTGGCGAGATTTGAGGCTGTCACAAATGGGGACTGCATCCTTTGAATGAAGTGTCACACAGATGTGTGAGTGAATCCATGAGAACAAAGGCTGTCCACTGCAGATGTGAGGGAGTTAGAGAACTCTGAGATGTGTGTCAGTTTGAAGACAGGCAAGATTTCCTTTAGGTGCAGCTGGTGAGTGCGGTTGCCCTGGAATTGGCCTCAACTCATCTGTGCTTGGAGGTAATAGTAGTTATCTGACCACTGAAAGTGTAGTGCAACTTGAACCAGGGGCAGAAGAATACATTTTATGGGGACTATAGATGGGGCTTGGGCAAGCAGTCTATATGTACATCCTGTATCTTAGAAAGACAATGGATAATTGATCAGGCTTCTTCAGAATTTTCTTTTTTTAGATCATGTAAGCCTAATAGAAATATGATGTGAGCTACATAGGTAATTTTTCATTTCCTAGAGGCCACATAAAAGAAACATGAAATGATTTCATATTTTTAATTTCACTCATTATCTCCAAAATATCTTTTTAATGTATATTCAGTATCGAGTTATTAATGACATATTTTACATACTCTCTTTTTTTCTCCCCACATCTTCAAATATCTGGTGGGTACTTTATATTCACAGAACATTTCAATAGGTCAGGAGCCACAAGTGGCTAGTGTCTACTTTATTGGACAGTGTGGTTCTAGAGGAGCTTGCCAGGTGGTGCTAGTGGTAAAGAAGTCACCTGCTGATGCAGGAGACGTAAGAGATGGAGGTTTGATCCCTGGATTGGGAAGATCACCTGGAGGAGGGCATGCAACCGATTCTAGTATTCTTGCTTGGAGAATCCCATGGACAGAGGAGCCTGGTGGGTTATGGTTTGGGCCAGGGTTGCAAAGAGTTGGATAAGACTGAAGTGACTTAGCATGCACGGATGTGGTTCTAGAGAGTTCCAGCTCTAGAAAGTAGACATGCATGTGTAAAGTCAATAGCAGATTTCCTCCAAAATTTCTGTTAAGCTCAATAGAACTTTTAAATATCAGAGAAAAGACTGAAGAAAATAGTTTGCAAAGCAGAAATATATTTTAAACATTGTTATTTTTAAAAACTTTAGAAAGGAGAATCCTAGATCACATACCATGAATTAAGGAAAATCTGGTGTTTGAAAGAAGTAGATGATGCCTTTTAGGGATTTTATTCTATTAAATTAAAAAAGATTATAAAATGAATCCCTACTTGTTATAGAGCACCTAGGTGGTACAAAGTATAGAAAATAATAAAAACCATCTATAACATCAGCATGAAGAGATGACCACCATTCAGAATTTGGGATGTTGCAGTTCTCATAGGCAGATTGTTCCTCTAATTGTGACTATATGGGAAATACTCTTGTCCATCTTGCTTCTATCCTTTTAATGTAATTTCAGAGCATTTTAATATGTTTAAAGCTCTTTGTAAGAATAAGTTTTAGTGTTGGGATGGTATTCCATCACATGGTGGCCATAGTTTACTGAAGTTGGTGACCTTTGGTAAGGTGAATGTTGCAGTATGCTTAGTAAATGGTGACCAAGACAAACAGACTACTTTATGGAAAAGTTGCCCTCCAGTGTGGTCATCCTCACCCCTCAGGTGGGGAACTTGCCTTCCATGACTGTAGTCACAGCTGGCAACCACCTCTGCTTATTTTTTAGAGAATAGATGTAAATATCTTAGAAAAGAATTGCCCCTCTTCATACCTAGTCATCCACTTGATCAATCTAGGTGTATGGTTACTATTTTGCCACAAGTGTATTATGACTTAAGGGTGAAAAGTAAATTTTTTCAAAGAGA